TATTTTGGAGGAGTGCTCTAATTATGTTCGAGGAGAGGTTTCCTATCGATTTGGTTCCAATTCCTTTATGTGGTTTGAAGGTTATCATCGAAATAGATTGGTTGGGGCCCAATGGGGCCATGATATATTACGAGTGTTAGTTACTGAGAGTTCAAACCCCAAGTGGGGGAGAACTGGTTATTCATGGAGAGAGAGCCTCACATGGACCAGCTCTCAGTTCGACCCGAGGGTTAGGAGACTCCTTCAACAGGGTTGTTCTGGGTTTTTGGCTTATGTTTCGGATACAAGGGTAAAGGCCACGCTAGATATGAGTAGGGTACCGATTGTGCAAGATTTTACATATGTATTTCTAGGAAAGTTGCCTAGGATTGCCTCCCGAGAGGCAAGTGGAGTTTCATATCGATTTAGTTCTTGGTGCGGCTCCGATAGCCAAGGTGTCGTATCGTATAGCTCCACCTACGATGCAGTAGTTGTCTACATAGATTCTGGAGCTGCTAGACCAGGGATTCATTTGTCCGAGCAGTTCTTCGTGGGGAGCACCGATCCTATTTGTGAAAAAGAAGGATGGAGAGGTGTTGGAGACCTTGAGGAGAATTTGAGGGAGGTGTTGGAGACCTTGAGGAGCGAGAGGCTTTATGCCAAATTCTCTAAATGCGATTTTTAGTTGCGTGAGGTGTAGTTTCTAGGGCACATCATCAACCAAGAGGGTATTTTGGTATACCCGACCAAGATTGAGGTGGTAATGCGTTGGGAAATCCCGAAGAACACATCCGAGATCCGGAGTTTCTTGGGTTTAGCAAGGTACTATCAAAGATTTATCCAGGATTTCTCGAAGATCACCGTACCCCTGACCCGTTTGACCTAGAAAAGTGTGATTTTTTGGTGGGGTCCAGATCAGCAATCGACTTTCAAGACATTGAGGCAGAAATTATGCGAGGCCCCGATTCTAGCTCTACCCGAGGGATTGGATGATTTGTAGTGTATTACGACGCTTCTATTTCAGTATTGGGAGCTGTTCTGATACATAGGGGGCATGTGATTGCTTATGCCCCAAGGAAGCTAAAGCCTCATGAGGCGAATTACCCCACTAATGATATGGAATTGGGGGCGGTGGTTTTTTTTATCAAGATTTAGAGGCATTATCTATATAGGGTTTGACGCACCATCTTCACCGATCACAAGAGTTTGAAGTATTTGATGGATCAACAGAATTTGAATATGCATCAGAGGAGGTGGTTTGATGTGGTGAAAGATTATGACTGTGAGATTTTCTACCACCCTGGGAAGGCCAATGTGGTGGCCGATGCCTTGAGTCGTAAGGCGGAGAGTGCTCCGATTCAAGATGTTTGCATGAGGATGATGGTGATTTCACACTTATTAGATATGATCAAGGAGGCACAGGTGCAGGGTTTGAATAAGGAGAATTGGAAGGTTAAGTGGATTCAGGGTCAAATCCCATTGTTTGTTCAAAATAGTTGGGGTTTATTGACTCAGTGTGACAGAGTTTGGGATCCGACATTTGGGGAGGTGAGACATAAAATCTTAGAGGAGGCGCATAAGTCTAAGTTTTCCATCCATCCACGAGTCATAGAGATGTACCGAGACCTCAGATTGAGTTATTGGTGGTCCTGCATGAAGAGAGAGATTGTGTGGTACATCGAGCAGTGTTTGACCTACAGGAAGGTCAAAGTCGAACATCAGAGGCCTCATGGTAAGGTGCAACCGCTACCTATACCCATGTGGGAATGGGAAGATATCATCATGGATTTTATCATGAAGTTACCTAAGACGCACAAGGTGTGGATTTTGGGTTATTGTGGACAGGTTGACCAAGAGTGTGCATTTTATCCCGATTTCCGAGAGTATCTCCACCGAGAAATTAGCATATATCTATGTGCGGGATGTGGTGGTCACGGGGTGCCGGTATCTATGGTCTCGGACCACGATGTACATTTCACCTCCATATTTTGTAGGAAGTTTCATGAGGAGTTCGGTACTCAATTGTATTTCAGCACTGCTTACCACCCCTAGACAGATGGTCAGAGTGAGCGGACGATTCAGACGCCCGAGGATATGCTTCTGGCATGTGTATTAGACTTTGGAGGGAGTTGGGATACTTACCTTCCACTAGCAGAGCTCTCATATAACAATAGTTATCATACTAGTATTGACCGACCCCCATTTGAGATGTTGTATCGTCGGAGATGTAGAACTCCCGTTTGTTGGGGTGAGGTTGGACATCGAGTTATGGCAAGCACTGAAGTATTGCTTAAGACCACCGAGTTGATTTAGCAGGTGCGTGACAGACTGCGAGTCGCGTTGAGCCGTCAGGAAAGTTATGCTGATCGACATCGTTCGGATCTTGAGTTTCAAGTAGGAGATTTTGCTTTGCTAAAGGTGTCACCTTGGAAGGGTGTCATTCAGTTTCGGAAGAGGGGCAAGCTGGGGCCCCAATTTATTGGACTGTTTAGGATCTCTGCCCGAGTCAGTAGTGTCGCTTTTCGATTGGATCTTCCGGATGAGCTGAGTTAGATCCATAACACCTTCTACGTGTCTCAGCTCCGAAAGTGTGTATCTGATGAATCTGCAGTTATTACATTAGATGACATTCAGGTGGATGTGAGCTTGGATTATGTTGAGAAGTCCATTACAGTTCTAGATAAAAGATTAAGGCTCTTTGTAACAAAAAGGTGAAGCTGGTGAAGGTGCAATGGCAGCCCCGAAGAGGTTCTGAGTGGACCTGGGAGTCGGAGGACGAGATGAGAAAACATTAACCTGATCTTTTCGCATTGACAGACTTCGAGGATGAAATCTAGTTCAAGTGGGGTAGATTTGTAACTATTGGTTTAGGTATGAGCTGATTCTTCAAACTGTTTGTATTTTCCTTTGGGACTCGGCAAGTTGGGAGCTCCAAATCGGCGTGTCGAGAGGGCTTTGGCCGCGGGAATTAATGAATCAACTCGGACAGTTAAGGTGCTTCAACTCGGTGAGTTGGCGGCTGGGAAGGAAACCTTAATTTTTAGGGTGTTGTACCCTATTTAATGGACTTAAGTCCCTTGGTTGGCTTCCTTACCAGCCTCCTCTGTCCATAAAACCCTAATATTGTGCATCATCTTATTTTGTGAGTGTGTGAGCTTGTGGAGGGTCTTGAGTGTTGATCTTTTGTACTCTTTTGAAGAAGCTTTGAAGTTGGTGGTGTAAAGCTTGGAGGGAAGAATTAGATCCAGAATCTCCCCACTTATTGTAGTCTATTGGAGGTATCAAGTTTATACCTTGCTTTGTTATTGTTTAGATCTCTTTGTTTTAAGGTTTTATCTTGATTTTGGGCTCATGGGTGGATTGTCCAAGAAGTTGAGTGTTCTAAGGGTTGTTATGTTATATCTAACTATTTTATGGCCCCTTTTGACTTAAAGTTGAAAGCTTTATTAAGTTCTAGGTCCCATTCATGCAAGAAGTTCCTTTTTAGTCCATCTTGAGCCCTATGGTTTCTTTTTAGCATGCATGGACGTAAAGTTGGAAACTTTACATGATTTTCCAACCTTTGGATGTCGCATCTGTAT